CACACACACACACACACACGCACACACACACACACACACACACACACACACACACACCCTCCTGATGAGTCGGTGAAAGTCCGACGAAACAGTCTGGCACAGTCATGCTTTTTTTGAGTGTGTAGCGAATATGACAACACACAAGCCCGGGTAGTACATCTCCCAGCCTCCCAGGGCCAGGGGAACAGCCGCTACTGCCATCATTGACCAGAAGGGCATTCCTAAGAGATGGATGGTACCAGTAGGGGCATATGGAAAATTCTTGTGCCTGTACTGAACGGCTATCCGGTAGGGGCAAACTGGAAATTTGGCGCGGGTACCGGTAAGGGCATATTGAAAATGTCTCAGGCCCAAACGACACCAGGTTTTTTTTGGAAACTTGAATGACTGTCAGAGGGGCAAAGCAATCTTCTACAGGCACAATATCGGAGAGTCTACCCAGCAGGACTACCTAAGCAAGCGCCCACGGACACATCCTACCATCCTTCCCCTAACTTACCCAAGGCAAGGCGGAACTCAGACTAGCCGGAGCGACTTATATCCCTACCCTACCCTAGAGCTAAGCTATGCATCAGTAGTCCCCCTCATGTACCTGATAGACCCCCCAGGCCTGTATTATAGCTGTGTATAGATGTGCCCCGAGGCTGTGTGTGTATGTGTGAGCCCATAGGCTGTGTATATTCATGAGCCATGTTTTTTATGTCTTCTGGAAGGCTATGTATGCTGTGTGTAATTGTATTGCGAGATGTATGTGCCCAAAGTCCAGATATGTGCAATACTATGTAGAGGGAACTGTGTTCGTTCAAGACATGACAGGCCAAGCTGGGCAAGAACCCCCCCAAAGTCCGAAACCAGACTCAAACCCATGATCTATGAAATGTGACTAGAAGACTCTACCATATGAGCAACAATCGCAAACAGCACCTGTGTGTGATATACCAGACTGGGGAGATCAACAGAACAACCACGAGCAACAGTGACGAGCAACCGACACAGTATCCAGACCCGACATACAACTCCGTGGACAACCCTTGGGTGGTGTGCAGGCGTCTGTAATAGCTTACCTTGCGTCAGCCCAGGGGGGTGTGCAAGTGACCATGCATTATGTAAACGCCAGCCGGTGTCATCGGCGCGGAGTTTTGAACCCTCAATCTCAGACCACAATGCGGTGCCCTAACCACTGAGCCACAGGCCCCTTGCAGACAAAATGTATTTCTGCAAGGCTGGGGCTGTGTACTGGCGGTATATACACAAAAACCAGGCTGGGGAGCTAGTCACTGGTGGGGTCTACTGCCTGCAGTAGGTTCAAGTAGGTTGGATAGGGTGCCATTGGGTGCAGTTCCTACTGACATTCGGATAGAACTGTCTGGTGGCTATATATATATGGGGCCTGTAGTTCATTGTCCGGGCCTGGCGTCCGAAGTTCCCGTTCGACAAGGTTCGTCTGATTCCGCTTCCACCAGGGCTGGGCAATCTATCAGCCCTGGTGCCTATCACTGCTGTTTGGTCCAAGTTGCCTGCCGGTTGGTAGGGCAATGGTCCTGAGTGCTGGTCACACTGAGGTAGAATACTGGGATAGGGGGTGCGCTAGGAGTATTGACGTGAGGATGGCTTGGGAGGTGGTCTCATATTCCAGGACACCCACGGCTCACAGTTCCAGGTGATCACTGTGCACACACTGACTGGCCTCTACACCACCCTGGACTTAAAAAAAAAAAAAAAAAAAAAGAGCCCAACCAATCAGGACAGGATGGCCTTTCAGGCCTTTTTTCGTATCATTATAGTATTATCATGGGAACCCGTAGCAGCCAGCCCGAGTTCAAGCCTCCAACGAGGGAACATGCGGGGGCTGCACCCGAAGTGCAGGGTGGACGATAATGGCCAGGGGTCAGCTGGTAGAATCAGGACCGAGCTTCTTCGATGGCCAGTCGCTATGCCTCCCCTCTGGTCCCCTTCCCCTACAAACACCAGCAGTCTCTTCTTCAATGTCGCCTGGGGGGACCAACGGGCTATCTCTAGGTGGCGCGTGCCAAGCATGCCTAGGAAGGTACATGAGGCCATTGGGGATTGAACCCAAGACCTCCTAACTGCCACTTGCATGCTTTACCAACTGAGCTAAACCGTTGGATTCTTTTTTATAGTCTTCTCTCAATTTCACCTATCACTGCCTACCTACCACTACTCCTAAGCCTATACAGGGGACTCCTGCAAGCATAGCTACCTCTCACAATCAAGGGGATGCATGTTCCCCCCTCCCTAGTCGGCGGTGGTCAGGGAGTAGGGTGGGGCCGCTGGATGGCGGGGGGGGCAGCTAATGCAAAGGCCCAGCATTTTCCCAGTAGCTGACCCCCATTGAGTAACAGCAGTATCTTTGGCCATCATTCACACACCTACACAATGTACTTTTAGAAGGGGAACCGCCTTGAGATATTATCACACACCATCTACTTATGTATACATCGCCAAACAGAACTGCCCGGTAAACCGTAGGCAGAGAGGGAGACGAGGACAACAAACAAGGGGCCATGACAAACTGTTTCGTCGGAGTTTCACTGACTCAGCATTCTGCAGAATCCCCTAACTGATTACACTGTCACCTTAAAGCATCAACGCCTGCCTGACAACTGATACCCTGAGGTGGGCACCAACCACTGCCCTCAAGGTACCTGTGACGAAAATCGAAGCAGACTATCACTCACCCACACCAGATGGAAAACCCTACAGACTGTGTATGTTTCTTTTTCTTTTTCTTTTTTTTTCAAAGGCTAATTCTGTTAAGCCCAACCAATTCAGTTACCTGTCGAATCTGGACAGGACGGCCTTTCAGACCTTTTACGGGAACCTCCGTAGCAGGCAGCCCGAGTTCAAGCCTCCAACGAGGGAACATGTGGGGGCTACACCCGACCTGAAGGTGGGTGATACCGGTCAGGGTCAGCTGGTAGCGTCAGGACTGAGCTTCTTCAATGGGCCAGTCGCTGTGCCTCTCCTCCAGTCCCCTCCCCCTACGGACATCAGCAGTCTCTGCTCAATGCCGCTCGAGGGGACCGACGGCCTATCGCTAGGTGGCAGGCGCCATATAAATGGTTTTTTTTTTAAGAAGGGTGATGTATATATTTTTAAGAAAGGGCGATGGCCTTGAGATATTATCATCGGACTAACCAGCCCAGGTAAATTCGATCTTCTCTCTAATCTGACAGGGCGGCCTTATTGCCTTCAGGGAAACCCTAGCAGCCATCTATACTCTCACATGAGAGGCTGCACCCTGCCCCACAGGGGCTTAGGGGGCGACACAGGCCAAGGGAAAGCCGGTAGCAGAGGGATAGAACATCATCTGAGTGGCCAGTCGCTGTGCCTGCCGGATTACCCCTCCCCCTGTGAACATCAGCAGAGACTACTTCAGCCGATTGGGGAGACCAACGTGCTATCTCTAGGTGGGACCAACGGGATATCTCTAGGTGAAAGTGCTAGCCTGAGGGCTGGGCCCCACTGTCTGCAAAAGAGACCTGTAATGCTAAAGGTAATGCTAAATGCGTTTGTAACAGCGGCTATTTAGAATAGCCGGAATACTGTTGTGCCAGTGCCCTATATGGGCCGGTAATGGGTTGGTATTGTAAAACTAGAGACATGCAATACGAAGGACGATGTGCCCAGCTGAAGGAACTGGCCACGGTAATGGGACGTCCACGGCCCGAACTTTGGGTGAAATGAGATTTGTCGTGGTTAAACCTTCACCGCCCCTCAAGCCATCAGTCCATAAAACCCTTCTGCGGACCTCCAACAATTTTTTCATCATGGATGAACCTAGCTTGGCACAGGCAAGATGTAACCCTACATGCCGGTGGTCGGCACCCCTCGATTGGTCGGGCGACCGTTCCACCTGTCGGCACCTACAGGTCGGTCGTCAGTCTCCTTGATTACCGTAATTGGAATTTAAGACTAGCCCAATATGTCCATGCCCCCACTTTATTTCTGCTACCCCCCCCCCCCCCTCTCTCCCCCACCTCTCCCCTCCTTGGGATCAAAATGAATGGTGCAGCAGCATGCCAAAGTATGACAAGGTCTGTGCTGTGGGCATGGATCTTATCTGTTTTGAATAAGGTTCATCTGCATGCTCGGGAAGCAGAAATGGAGCTGTTGAAGAGTTTTATTGGGTAAAGTGAACAATTAGATGCCTTGGGGGTGAAACACCCTCGACCTGTTCTCAAACTTAAATAGCCTAAATAGGTAAGGAATGAGATATGCATACCAGTTGTTTCCCTGGTGATTGATCGGGCAATTGATGGATCTTACCGTTTTTGGATAAGGGTCATCTGCACATTTTCTTGATCAATTGCATGGCGTGTGATGAATGAAGACCCATTTAGACCCCCTTTAAAACCCCTGAGACCCATATCAACCCCCTTTAAACCACCACCACCTGGGAGAGCCTCCTTTAGTTTCCATTTAGTGGTGGTAACCGCAATAAATATGCCAGGGTTGTAACCCTCCTCCTGGACTGCGACAGACTGGAACAGTATGCAGGCCTCGTGAGGTTCGGCAGGTCAGGTCCAGAGGTAGTGGGGGTTTAAGCAAATTTTCTCTGACATCTTGTGCCGTCATGATTGTTTTCTTTTCTTTCTTTTTCTTTTCCTTGTGCAGGGGCCATGCTAGTCCTCTCTGTATCGTTCCAATTGTAATGGATGTCCCAAAGGACATGATGTATGGATGTCTTGGGTCGTTCTGGAAAATGAGGTTCGACGATTTGGCTTTGGGGGCAGTGGTGGTGAAAAGCATTCCCCCCCTCCCCCCCCTTCCCCCCTACTTACCCCCCACTAACCCCCCTGTGGCCTTCCGTCTGATGAGAAGTGACATGTGGATGTGCATTTTTTTGTGTGAATGTGTTGCGATCAGCTTGCATCAAGTCATTTGTGTACATACATATTGCAAAGCTGAAGGCCGGTTTTCAACTTTCAATTGATTTTTTGCCAAATTTTTGGAGCTCTGCAGGCGCAGCATATATCTTTCTTTCTCCACTGAATTGCATGCTGCGAGGGAGTTGTGTGTTATGCAATGCAAGGATTTTATTCATTTGATGGATGAGTAAACGGGGAAGACGAAGACGGCGACTGCAACGGCATTAACAACAACATGGCTTCGCCTTTGGGAGCTGCTCCGGTTCCTTTCAGGTAATTCAACCAACCAGAAAGGGCAACATGTTGCCTGGGCCATTTGGAGGTTGGCCAAAGGCCCACCTGCCGGTCTACAATTTTGGTAGGCTATCAGATTTATCATTTGTGTGCTGTCACTCAAGTTTGGCTATGAGTTGTAATAATTGGGGAGGAATGGAAATGATGAGGGGGGAAGAGGAAGAAGGTGGGGGGGGGAG